ATCAATGTCTCACATTACTAAGAGTTCAATGTTAGCACTCAATTAAATGATCTGATTTTGAGCATTTTTGCTGCAGCTGTGATGATGCTACAACATCGGTTCYAGATAAAGACAAAAGACAAAAAGCAGCAGGCCAGTAGTGAACGGGCTTCTCAGCGGCATTTACCACAGTAATTSGGGGTTTTTACCCAAAAGTGAGAGTTGGGTCCCTCAAGGCTCATGTTGTTGCCCTAATATCAGAATGGGGTATAAATGCAAATAGGAGGAGAAGCCTCCAACACACACAAACACCAAGAAAAATTCCCCTTGCTCATTCTTGAAGGAATCYACCCTCACTTCAAGAAAACCTCTCCAAACCGTTATAGAAAGTCAAGCGGAGAAGAAGACTCATCAGTGACATTTGGGAGCTGATCTTCAGCTCCTTCTCTTCATTTTATCATCTTTGTATTGTTTTTATTTCTACATTTTGTTTGACTATGCTTATGGCATTGTCTAGCTAATCAACTTGTGTAAGGAGGAGATGTTTTGAACTTAGGTTCTGGGCTGTAACTTTGTTGTTTGCTTTAATGAAAGTTTGCTTTGAGATGAAGTTGTTTTATCACTCTATTTTCAATGTGCTTGATCAATATGTTGAAAWACCTCTTTGATAATGTTTGGAAAAATGTATTAAAGAGCGAAATCCTTCATCTTGGGCTAGAGTCTACTTGAGTTTAGCGTTTGGTAACTTAGGGATAAACATCACTTAGCTTGGTCATAAAAACTGTTCATATATGCTATTGATGTTTGTCTATGAATATTAGTAGTAGAGAATCTGGGGTGTTTGGAAGAACATCTTATCTGTTTGACCACTGCATTTACTCGATTAATGCTGCAGCATAGTTAGGGTGACATAGAAGAGTCGACTTCCTCTCCCCCTTGCGCCCTTGTTTTTATACGATCTTACTGAGTGATTGTGGATGTGTAGTAACTCTAGCGAACTTACTACTTGTGTTTGATTTAAAATAATCATTTAAAAATTTTTATCTTAGCATATTTTAGCTATTAGTTGGAAGAAATCCCCTATTGGCTTATTGCATTGCTTTCTTGAGTGAATATTGAGTGTTTAAGTACTTAGTCTCTGTGGATTCGAACTTTTATTACTTGCTGCGACGATCGTGTACACTTGCACATATAAGAACCGGTAGCACAATTAGTGGACAACACCAGCACTGCCTGGTGATCCAGAAGCTCTTGATACCCTTCAGCGTGAGCTCGATGACATGCTTAACCGGATGTGCACAATGGAGGAAACATACAACGAGATGATACAAGCGAATAGAATTGGGTCACATTCTAGGGCTCAGGGCGAAGGAGAGGATGATCTCCCCATCSACCCTGAAGGAGATGGTCAGAATGTCGGTGATATTGGTGGGGTAGATTACAGTCGCTAAGAGGACGACTTACGGAAGGTCTTGGCCGACAAGAAAAGGAAGAATTCTGCCCTAAGAGGCGCAGATCCTTCCCTCTCTTATTCACACAAAAATTCCAACTCTAAAGCTCAGTCCCAATATACTCTCATAGTGCTCTAAGGGATGATCACCAGGGAGGAGTTCAACCTGGTGAAAAGTAAGTTTGATTACCAGGAATGCGGCGGAAACTCAGTGTCAGCCGGAGTGTGCTCCGAGCTGGTGGGGCTTTGCTGGGCGGGGCTCTACTCATCAGAGGCCTCCAGCAGAATGGTTTCAGCAGCATCCTTGAAGTCGTCGCTCGATCCATAACTTGCTGAAAGTTCCAGCCTCAGYGCTCTCTTCCTATTCACCTTGTATTTGATTCTAGGCATTGTGAATTAGGGTTTTGGGAAGAAGAAGATAGGGTTTTTTTGGGGAGCTTAAAAGAAGAAGGAGRAGGTACGGTTATGGTGCAGAGTGAGGAGAAAATAATGAGGGAGACGTGAGTCTTAAAGAAAAACAGAAAGTTGTTGTGGCCCATTGAAGAAAATATCTCCCACGATTTTCTTCCAATTAATGGAAATAAATTTTCCCCCAAAACGAAAAATAATATCCCCCAAATCTCTAGCAATTATGATATTTTCCCAAAAAAATGAAAGTTTTACTTACCTTTCTCATTGGAAGCCGAAATTTGCTATAAATACCTTTCTGCATGTCTGCCACGCCATGACGCTCTCACCTACCTTGTCCTTTCGTGTCAACGTCATCACGTCGTCATCACTGCATGCCCTTTTTAAAAGTTGTCCACTCAACCTGATTTTTAATTATTTTCTCCCTGAAAACCAAAATGAAAGCCGATTAAAATTCAAAATGGCAGATAAAACAATTAAATGTCTAAATTTCTAAATTCAAAACTAGGGAGCAATAAAATAATTAATCATTAAATCCTGCTCCCTTTATTCYATTGTTGGTTTCTCAGTCCGTGGCCAAGTGGTGAGCTCCAGCATCTCTSACCACGCTCTCGCCAAAGAAATACTTTAGCCTCTACCTGTTCACGATAAATTCTCTTCCTGAATCCATTTCTTGTACCTTCACTSCTCCATGTGGGAATACATRTGAAACTAAAAATGGACCTAATCATTTCGATTTGAGCTTCCCTGGGAAAAGTTTGATTCTTGAATTAAAAAGCAACACTTGCTGTCATTTTTCAAACTTCCTAGGATTSATTCTTGCATCATGCCATCGCTTTGTCTTGTCTTTATTTAACTTGGCATTTTCGTAAGCGTCTCTGTTGAATTCTTCAAGCTCTTGCAATTGTAAGCGGCTAACATCTCCTGCTGCAACATAATCCAAATTTAACTTTTTCACAGCCCAAAAGGCCTTATGATCCAGCTCCAATGGAAGATGGCAAGGTTTCCGAAAAACTACTTTGTATGGAGATGTGCCTAAAGGCGTCTTGAATGCTGTGCGATAAGCGCACAACGCGTCATCCAACTTCATCGTCCAATCTCTTTGATTTATGTTAACCACTTTTTCCAATATGCTCTTGATCTCTCTATTAGATTCCTTAGCTTGCCCATTTGACTGGGGGTGATAAGCTRTGGATACTTTGTGTCTGATGTTATACTTAGCAAGGAGAGATGCTATAGCTTTGTTGATGAAGTGCGAGCCTTCGTCACTGATCACAGCTCTGGGTGTACCAAATCTCGTGAATATTTGCTTGTGGAGAAAATTTGCTACCACTTTGGCATCACTATTGGCACATGCCATTGCCTCGACCCATTTTGATACATAATCGACCGCTAATAAAATGAAGAGGTTTCCATTAAATGGAGTAAATGGTCCCATGAAGTCCATGCCCCATATATCAAAAAGCTCCACCTCTAAGATGTATGTGAGAGGCATCTCTGAGCTCTTGGAAATATTTCAAACTCTTTGACATTCATTGCAATGCTGCACTAGCTCATATGCATCCTTAAAAATGGTGGGCCAGAAGTATCCACTCTGGAAAACTTTTGCTGTTGTGTGCTACCTCCAAAGTGGCCACCGTATGGTGCCGAATCGCACCTGTCGTACTTCAGCATTGGCGATGCATCTTCTGATCATTTTATCTTGGCCAATCCTATAGAGATATGGGTCATCCCACAAATAAAACTCTCTCTCATACAAAATCCTTTTCAGCTGTTGCTTGTTCATGTTCGTTGGTAGAATTCCACTAGCAATATAGTTGGCTAGATCTGCAAACCATGGTTCCTCATSTTCATTCAGAACTCCAATAGCCAACACTTGTTCATCTGGGAAGGTCTCATGCTTGGAGCATTCCAGAGTAGGTAACTTGGACAAGTGGTCAGCAACCACATTTTCTGTTCCTTTATTGTCCTTGATCTCTATGTTAAATTGTTGCAGTAGTAAGATCCAGTGGATGAGCCTCGGTTTAGCATCCTTCTTTGTCGGTAAATACTTCAGAGCARCATGGTCCGTGTAAACAATCACCTTTGACCTACCAGATATGCTATCAACTTTTCAAGTGCRAACACCACTGCTAAAAGCAYTTTCTCTGTTGTGGTGTAATTAATATGTGCCTCGATCAAAGTTTTGCTGGCGTAATAAATCGGATGCGGYAGCTTCCCTCTACGTTGAGCAAGAACTTCTCCCACAACATAGTCGCTGGCATCACACATTAATTCGAAAGGCTGGTTCTAATCTAGAGCTGTTATTATTGGAGCATGGGTGAGAGCATACTTCAACGTACTGAAAGCTTGCAAACATTCAGATGTGAAGTTAAATTMTTTATCAATCTCAAGCAAAGAACAGAGAGGTTTAGAGAGTTTTGAAAAATCTTTAATAAATCTACGATAAAAACCAGCATGCCCCAAGAAATTGCGAATGCCCTTGACATTCACTGGTGGGGGCAATTTCTTGATTGCCTCGATCTTTGATTTGTCAACTTMTATGCCTTTGYTGGAGACTCTGTGCCCTAGCACAATTCCTTCCTGCACCACAAAGTGACACTTCTCCCAATTCAAGACTAAGTTTGTTTCTTCACATCTTTGCAACACCTTCCTCATGTTGTCCAAACATTCTGCAAAGGACTTTCCAAACAMCGAAAAATCGTCCATAAATACCTCTACYATTGATTCTACYAAGTCAGAAAAGATAGCCATCATGCACCTCTGGAACGTYGCTGGAGCATTACAAAGCCCGAAGGGCATCCTTTTGAAAGCGAATGTTCCATAAAGTTCTTCAGTTCTCCTGTAGCACAATCTTATTTATACAAAAGCTGGGGCTTATCCCTTTGATATCAGTAATAGTCCATTCAATTGCTCTYTGATGTGCCTTGAGTACACACAACAACATATGTTCCTTTTTCAAGGGTTAGTCCACTGCTATAATGATTGGCAATGTCTCTGATGAACCCAAGTAAGTATATTTYAGATGTTGCGGCAATGCTTTAAGCTCCAGCACTGGCGGCTCTTCAATAGATGGCTTCAGTAATCTAAGCTCTGGSTTTGTGAGGTCTARGGACTTATACAATCTCTTCATAAATCCTTCATTGGCATTCATGCATTCTGACTAGACATCTTCTAGTTCCTCTTCAAACGCGTCGACAACACTTTCAACGTYAACTGCTTCTAGATGCTCCAGCATAGGTTCTGTTTCCAACTCCTTCATTAATGCTTCATCCCATAKCTTTAATATTGWGCACTCTTCTGATTCAGCAGGAAATTTCATGGASTCATGTATCGAGAATTTCACTTCTTGATCCTGCACACGCATTGTCAGCTCTCCTTTGTGGACATCTACCAATGCTCTCCCAGTTGGGAGGAATGGTCTTCCAAGAATAATAGGAACCTCCTTATCTACTTCATAATCCAAAATAATGAAGTCAGCAGGGAAAATAAATTTATCTACTTGTACCAAAACGTCTTCAATTTTTCCATCTGGATGCATAATGGATCGATCTTCCAGTTTTAATGTCATTGTTCTGGGCCTTGCTTCTCCAATGCCCAACTTGTTGTAAATTGATAGCGGCATGAGATTGATGCTGRCGCCCAGATYACATAAGGCAAGTCCTATCTRTTGTCCTCCARTTGAAACTGGTATGGTMAAACTCTCAGGATMTTTCATCTKTGCAAGAATTTTGCTTGTGAGTATGGTGCTGCAACCTTYCGTCATTGTTACAGTCTCATATTCTCCCAACATTMTTTTCTTTGTGAGTATCTCTTTCAGCAACCTCACATAATTTGGCATTTGCTCTAGAGCTTMCACCAACAGTATGTTCCCGTGCAGTTGMTTCAAGATATCTAAAAACTTATTGAATTGAACATTMTGTTCTTTCTTTTGCAACCGTTTAGGATATGGTGGCGCTGACCTGTATTYTRCTKGAGCATTTTCATGTTCTGCCTGCTTTCTTTTCTAGGGCACTCTGTTCTGTGTATACCCTGTCTCAGGTGCTCTAGCAATTATTGGATTAACTGATTGATTGGATGTGTTCTGAACCWCCTTTGGTTGTTCAGCTATYTGCTCTAGTGGAGTAAGTACAACTACTTCTGTTGGCTCACTGTCCTGTTCTGACTGAGTTTCTCCTTGGTCAACTTGAGTAGGTTCCTTGATCGATGTTGGAGCATTTGGGTGTGCTGGARGTAATTCTTTCCCACTTCGSAAAGTGAGGGCCTTGCATTGTTCCTTACTGTCTCTCTTYGGCACTTCTGTATCGCTAGGCAATGCTCCAACCGGCCTGCTCTTCAAATCCGTAGCTAACTGGCCTACTTGCAATTCTAGGTTCCTTAATGATGCAGCTTGGCATTGCACARCGGCGTCATTATTGGCCATGTATWGCTTCATCAGCTTTTCCAATGATGTAAATGATCCTTCTGATTACTTCTGTGCTACCATCTGTCATTGATTCGCAAAACTAGGAGGATAACTCACCTTCTGCTGAAATGTTGGAGCATTAGATATTCCAGAATTGTGTCCTCCTTGATTGYCACTCCAACTAAAATTGGGGTGATTCCTCCAGCCAGGATTGTACGTGTTTGAATACAGATTGTTTCTACTATTCTGYGGTTTCCCCAAATAATACATTGACTTAGGATTTCCAGGGCAGTTGTTATAATGGTGRCCTCACTCRCAGAAAGAACAATAAATCCATTGAATTTGATTRACATCAGCCTCACCAACTGATGCTCCAACTGAACTTTGCTGCGTCATACTCCTCATTACTAAGTCTGTCAGATTCTTAATCTTTGAACTCAATGCAGTATATGATTCAGACTCAACTAGCTTCTTACTTGATTTTCCTTGAACAGCTCTARGATCAGACCATGAGCGATTGTTTGATGATATTCTTTCTAAAATATTGAATGCTTCAGCATAGGATTTTGCTATCAAAGCCCCATTTRCRGACGCATYAATTACTAAGCYTGTGGCATCATCTAGACCTTTATAATATGTCTCGATTTGGATGCATCTTCGGATCCCATGGTGCGGACATCTCTACAACAATTGGTTGAAACGCTCCCAGGATTCACTAACTGATTCTCCAGCAAATTGCTAAAAATTGTTGATYTCACTGYGGTACTTAGCATTTTTGCTGGGTGGGAAGTATTTCATCAAAAACTTCTCAGCCAAGTCACCCAATTTGTAATAGACTTTGAAGGAAGGGACTCCAACCAGGTTCTSACTTCATCTCTAAGTGAAGACGGAAATAACTTAAGCCTCATCACTTATTTGCTCAATCCTTCATCCTTGAATCAATTACAAATTCCCATAGAGAATTTTAGATACTGATGCGGGTCYTCAGTAGGATGTCCATGAAACTGACCCACTGTYTGGAGCATCTGAAACATMACTGGTTTCAGCTCAAATTTGGAAGCTTCAATTTCTGGCTCCGTGATAACTGGGTTGAATTGTAAAATGCCGGAGCTGCATATGCTCTGATTTCYCTGTCGATGTCGTYTGCTAAGAGTACAACGTTGAGARGGGGCATTGTTACATCAGGGTTAGCAGCGACAGGAACCCCATCTACTATTTCCTCCATCCTCACATTTTGTCGTACAGTCGCAWTGGGCTGAWCTAGAGGATTCATTCTGTCCATGTTGGCTGCCGCTTGTTGTCGCCTCTGCTCTAATATATTTMTGCGGAAGGAACGCTCTATTTCGTGGTCAATAATATATTCTAATCCTTCGTAATCGTTCATGCACCTCACAAAAACACACAGGTAAATACAAATGTGAAAACGAGAAAAATTACTTCAGCACCGTATCTACAAATATCGATGTTAAAATAAAATCACAAAAATCTCCGAAACGGCCCCAAAAATTTGTTGTGTCCACACAACTATGTTGMCAACACGTGCAAGTATACACGATTKGTCAGTTGTASTACGTAACGAGGTCGTATCCACARGGATTTTTGGTTRTATTTTAACGATAAAAGCARATACCAACAATTGAAAATATACAAAGAATGGATATGGATATTATCTAGGAAAAAAGTAAAATAAAGTAATAACAAGACAACAAAAACTTGCAAGAGACAATAGTTTCGAAGCTGTSAACACAAGAAAGTAGTAGCACAGAAAGCGATAACGGGGGAATAACAAATATGGAAAAGGCGRGGGAGATTCAGCATACTTTCACAAGTTATCAACCTACCCTCCAGCGTAGCTAACATTTATTAGTGCCCAGCTCGACTCGGTTCCCTTCCGAGACACCTCAAACATGAGTAAGTACAACTCCCGTTGCTAAATACCCAAGCAATAAACCCACGCTATAGGCATGATTATGRGACCCCRTTCCTGAGTATCCCTATAGCTATAGAAAAGCGCTAATCACAAGCAAAACAAATCAGCACCCATAMGTCCTTCTGGGTCAATACAAAAGCTAGCATACACAAAACAGCGGCCAACGGTAATGCGAAGATTAAGAAGTGAAATCAGGTTTGTCTAAAAATAAATGTAGCAGCTAKAAGTTCRATTTCAAGTCAGTTACAACATGTAAATCTCCCMCAAAATGGGGTTTAGCTCATAATGGGTAAAGAAAACAAAATGRAAGAAGAAGAAATACAACCCATAGCAGAAAAATAGCTAAATGACAGAGAAGAATAARCAGTTAGCTCGTTCCCGCAGGCGAGCTTCCCMTTTTTGGCATCRGCTCTCTTCCCGAAAATGGGTATATTTYGTTCCCWTGTCTTTTCAGCTCTYAATTTTTGTCTCTCTTGGGRTATGCGTGCCTGTCGACTAGGGCAACATACCCTTTAAATATCGGGTCCAGTTTTTAGGGCACCWRGCTAGAGATTGTAAGGACATAAGTGAATCCTGTGTTTTTGAATTAACTGTACGGACACTCATGCTCTTGCATTGTAATGCAACAGCATTTATATGCTCTGTCTTAAAAATGCCTTTGACTTCTCTGCTCTAGTTTRGCACTTTGTTCTCTTCTTAGCTCTTCTTTAAAAACATGTGGAATTTAACCACAAATACGAGATTTTATGCTATTTTTGGCCAAACTTCTTATGACTAAGGATATTTAGCTAAGAATTTGCATTTGAACACTATTCATGCTAATTATGACCTAAAACCAACATACTTTGCCATTTTAATGCACATTTTCACCCAAATAACCACTAGAATAATTCTCTTTTGGAGAGTTACCAACAGGTTGAAGCCCTCAAGGCAAAATGTGAGAAGAAGGAAAATGTATTCGACGATGGCGAAATCTATGAATCGCCATTCACCTCGGATATTTTGCAGCCTTCAATCCCTCTAAAGTTCAAAACACCCACCATGAAGCCCTATGATGGGTCTAAGGACCCTAAGGACTATGTGAAAAGGTCTTTGAGGGCCTTATGGACTTGCAGGTAGCATGAGATGCCATTAAATGCAGAGCTTTTCARATCGCCTTGACTGGAAGTGCCCGACTCTGGTACAGAATGCTGCCAGCTAGGTCTATCTCAACCTACTCACAGCGGAGGAAAAAATTCATTAGGCAATTCTCTTCTCGACATTACGACAAGAAAATAGCCACTCRTCTCGCTACCATTCGACYGAGGGAAGGTGAGACTTTGAGAGAGTGCGTGACCAGATTCCARGAGGAGYAGCTCAAGGTCACGCATTGCTCAGATGACTCGACCATGTGTTACTTCCTTACAGGCCTGGCCGATGAAACATTGACCGTCAAACTCAGAGAAKAAGCTCCAGCCACCTTCGCTGAWGTCTTGCAGAAAGCTAAGAAAGTGATAGACRGGCAAGAGCTACTCAGAACCAAAASTGGCCGAACTAAAAAGAAGCCTGACCAGAAAAAATCAAACAATCAGGAAAAGGGGAAATCAKATTCCAAATCCAAGAATAAGGGATCATCTTCCCAGCCATCTRAAAATCAGTATGATTACCAGAGGTCGGATTTTAGCTCGAGCCGAGTTTAACCCTATGAAAGATACACTCCCACAACCATYCCTCTCTCTGATATCCTCACTAACATTGAGGAGACTGGGATGGAGAAGCWCCTCRAGCGTCCAGAGAAGCTTAGGGGAGACCCAAAAAAATGCAACAAAAACAAATATTGTCGTTTTCATCGCGATCACTSTCAATACTTCCAGTTGTTGGGAACTAAGACGCAAGATTGAAGACTTGATTCAAGATGGCTATTTTAAGAAGTTTGTTGGCAAACCAAGAGYAAGCTCAGAAGAAAAGAAAAAGGAAAGGAAGSATTCATGGACACTTCCTCGGAGRGATGACTGACTTGCAGTCATCAACACAATCTTTGGAAGCCCAAGTGGGGGCCAGATTGGCAACAAACGAAAAGAACAAGCYAGAGAAGCGCGACACGAGGTGGGCGCCTCAGGAGCAGAGACCGACCTGCCCCATTTCATTCTCAGACTCCGACCTGGAGGGAGTCCATTTACCTCACAATGATGTCCTGGTGATATCTCCCCTAGTTGACCATGTCTTGGTCAGGAGAGTATTGGTCGATGGYAGAGCTTCCACCAATATCTTATCACTTACCTGGACTAGGGCACAACTCAAGAAGAGTCCAACACCTTTGGTCGGATTTACCAGGGAATCAGTTACCCTAGAAGGATGCATTGACCTGCCTATCACTATTGGCCAGGGTGACACTAAAGTCACTCAGATGACCGAGTTCGTGGTGATAGATKGTAAGTCAGCCTATAAATCT